AAGTTTTTTTTTTTTTTTTTTCCTCTCAAGGGCAAGAAAGTAAATATTTTAGGCTTTTCAGGTCATAAGATCTCTGTTGCAACTACTTCTGCCTCTGTAGTGTGAGAACAGCCAGAGGAAATATGTAAAGAATGTGCATGACTGAGTTCCAAAAAATTTTATTTACAAAAGCAGGTGGAGGGCTGCATTTGGCCCAGGTCCAGAGTTTTCAAACTCCTCCTTTAGCTACTCAGAACAGTGTCTCTTGTACTGAGAAATGACTGATTTGCTTTGTTTTCAAGATACTATTCTCTGGCAGTTCCGAGGGTTTTGAACATTTGTGAAGATCTGATTGATATGTTATAAATTTACTTTAGAATTTTTGAGGTGCTTGTCTAACTAGGATTGCCTTATCCCACAATCCCATGGGGTTACATTTGGACTCAGGATACACTGTGTCTTGTTCAACTATTTACAAACACCTGGTTTTTGTTTGTTTGTATAGTGTAACCCTCAGTAAAACTGAGATAGTAGGAACTCCTCCTTAGGACAGGGCAAGGAAGCTGTGGGTTGCACATCACCACCCTGGACTACTTTGCTGGTCTCTTCTGTGTCTCAGGCATGGGGGAAATGTAGTTGTCTCAAGCCTGTGATGTGATGATTTTATGCTTCTTTTCAATGACCCCCCATGGAAGGAAATCACCCCTCCAAGTGTACAGAGTTGTAGACCTCCCACCCCTCAAAGACAGCCTTGCTCTTATTTGGTTATAATTCCTATAGAGAATCCTAAGTCCTTAAGAGCTGAGCCAATGAGTTATTTTTTCATTATAGCTCCTCTCCAGGCTACCTCAATAGCCAATTTCCTTAGTAGCCAATCCTGAACTTGTGATCTGAAGCATAGTGCAGGTCTTTTACCTGTTCCCCACTTCAGTAAGAGAGCCCGGGTCTCTAAGAGTACCCTCCTCAAAGTAAAAGGGAAACAGCCTTTATTTTCTAAATATTTTAAGTTCTTGGCCTCTGAGTTCCTGTTCACCATTCCTACCAAGGGGCTGTGTGGACCCTTAAATAATCAGGACCTTTTGGCCACCTAATTATTACTTAACAAACAATTGATGGGCAAAACTTTTTAAGTATAAATAGTTTTCAGGCTGAGTATAGTTAAACCTCCCAAATTTGTAGCTTTCTTCCCTCTAATCCTATAGAACTGACATTTATATTCTCTTTGGAAAAGGGCAAGGACAAATCATCCCCATCTATTATCTTAACTGTAAGTTTGGAAAAATATATACATTTGATATAATGAGAGCACATTGTGTTCCATAACTAAAAACTAACACTTTATTGCTTACTTTTAACCTCTCTCCTGTGGACAGAGGGGATAGATAAGAAATAAGGAGTGCTATTTTTCCTTCCTGCATGCTCTCAGATATGCAAGTATCTACTTTCATAAATTTTAAATTAAAATGCACATTCAGCCTGCTGGTGTTGCTCAGTGGTTGAGCATGGACCCATGAACCAGAAGGTCATGGTTTGATTCCCTATCAGGGCATATGCTTGGGTTGCCGTCTTCGTCCCCAGCAGGGGAGTACAGGAGGCAGCCGATAGATGATTCTCTCTCTCATCATTGATGTTTCTATCTCTCCGTCTCCCTTCCTCTCTGAAATCAATAAAAGCATATTTTAAAAATAAATAAATAAATAAACACATTCATTTGCATAGTATAATGGATTGAATGTTTGTGTCGCCCCCCCCCCC